GTTCCCTGGGAATCCCTAATAATAATACAAACGGTGTCACTATCCAATTTTCTAACTGCAATTATTTTCGCTGTTTCTCAATTTATTTCTAAGCATGTTTTTAACCAAAAAAATATATAGAGTTTTATGTGCCTGAAAACGAGCAAAGAGGGCAATAAAATGTTGCAATATTGTCGCCATGTTTATTTATCCTTGACTGTTCCATCACCAGAGTGAAGTACATCACAAATGTTTGTTTTCCAGGAGTCTGTAATGAAACTGAATTCATGTCCTTCATTAAAATTCATAAATGTTTGTGTCATTTTGGGCCTCACTGGTCACTGTGTTTCCCTGAATCTTGCCAATATCGATTAGGTCACAATCACTGTAGCTATCGCCGAAGGAAATAGTCTCACATCCAAAATTGTGGTTCCCTGGTGCCTCTAAATAAAAAGTAGTCTAGAAAGATTGAGCGAAATCGGTTGATCTTTTCTCGCTCAGAAATACAGGGGCGACTCGATTTTTAAGGATGATTGGATGACTTCTTTTGTTTCAAGTTCTAGTATGCCTAGAAACAAAGCAGCATTGTTATTTTGGTGAATATAGACCATGTTCTGTTCCAATAAAGGATTTTGAAAATGTTGATGTTAAAAGGAATGTAGATTTCAAAAAACTAAATAATATGCAAAGCCCATAATGTAAATGGTTGAATGTATCTTGGTCAAAGTAAGAAACGGCACATGGGTCATATTTAGGAACTCCTGTCAGAGCAACTTCACAAATCATAAGGACAAATTTCATATAAACAATGTATTTTACACATATTGTATACATCGCTATGAGACCCATATCAAACACAAGGCAGTGTGACGACCACTGCACTTTAAGATAAATTTAGTAATAATTCATGGTGATACGAATGTTATCTTAAATTATATAGAATCAAAGATAGTTCAAGTTATACACATGCAACACCTACAATCATATTTTGTGATACATGTACATGTATATATGCCATGAAAAATACATTGAAATTTATCAGAATTGATATTTCTGCTTATACAGTACATATTCCAGAAATATGTAAGAACACTAGAAAAACAACCTGAGATGAAACATACCCATCAATCATTTGCATTTCTAGGAAGGTGCATTGTCTCTGATTTCCCTTGATTTGTCACTGTTACGTCTTTATTCACCTTTGATTCAAATCTCAGTGTGTTAACTAATTCGCCTTTTCCATCGGAATGAACGCAATTAATTAGATTGCATTGTAAATACCTCTGTAGATTCCAATATATTCTGTGTGCGGCCACCTCACCTGCCGTCAAACTGAGTGAAGAAGCACTAACTTATTTAAATCAAGGACAGTCATATGAATTGAAAGTAAAAAAACTTGGCAACACACATGCTTATCAAGGCAAACTATTAAAGGTAAGAAATATTTAGATCTGTTTATAGTTTCCACGAGCATCGGAAGGTGTTTTTTATTTGAAACAAAAAAAAGGGCCATTTCTGTTGCTGGTGGTGCAATATCTTATTTGTGTATGGGCAGATCAACATGTAGATCTAAATGTTTCATTTAAAAAATGAAAGTTTTTAAGAAACAGATCTTTTTTTGGGCCTTATCTGTTTGTGTATTAATTCTGACAATTTCTCAGAAATTTGAAACAGGTTTCAATCAAACCTAGTTTGGACACTTCACCTGCTGAGTTAGTCAACTTTTGTGATTTCCAATAAAATTCACCCAGTCTCCATAAAACATCAGAACGTCTGTGGTGAGAAC